ATATATATATATATATTTCGGAGTAGAAATTTGAAATCCATAAGATTTCCAGGGCTGTGATCTTTACGGAGCAGATTGTCTTGATTAGAATTGGGGACTTTTCAGTTAGTAGTTGAGTCCTTAACTAATAGAGTGCCACCAGGGCTTATTGTCATAATTTATATTAAAAAACAAAATCCCCAAGCCTCATTAGTTGCGTGGATTCCAACTCACTGGGACCCTTTAACAGGTTTTCTGGGCGGTACACTTTATGGGAAGAGACTATTTTTCTCTGAGGAGGAGCAGGTAGATTTGAACCACTGACCTTTTGGTTAGCAGTCTCAAGTATATCCTATTGCAAGATTTTTTTAATTAATTTTGTTACTGTTGATGTTATTGACTCATGGTGCCCCTTTGTGTGTAGGGCGGAATAATCTCACAGTATTTTCAAAGCTTTATAATTTTGGAAATAGATTGTGGGGCCTGTCTTCCAAGACACCTTGCAGTAGGTTTTGATTAACTTTTCCGTTAATAGTCTGATGTTTTTAGCTTCTTTTTGCCACCAGGGATTCCATTGTTTGAAAAGGGAAAAAAAGTGCTACAAAACCCAAAACTAATTTGACAGATCTTGTCAGTCTAACTGGCTTATTAGAGCCTAGATAATTTTTTTTTTAAAGGATGTTTTAGTAGCTCAAACAATGCCCTCTCTCATTTGTCCTTCACTTTTATCAGATGACTTTTCAAAATGGAATAAAGTTTCATAGTTGTTTCCAAGAGAAAATGGAAGGATTAATATGAGTTGGTAATTTTATTGTATTCATACAGCATTTATGTTCTTACTTTCTCACTTAAGAAATGTTGACAATAAATCAGTTTTCATGTTACTGCAAGGGGAAACTTTGGTTTAAGCTTCTCCTTCCACATAATCCTTTCTTTGCCTGAAAAGTATTTCTTTGCTTGAGAAGTATTTTTCCCATCTTGATATGTTTGTGTGGCAATGTTTACAGTGATTTAGTAAACATCAGTTAGTAATTCCATTATTTTCTCTAATATCTTTTGTAAATTAATCCAATGAGATCTGAAATTTTTCAGTTAATTCCTTTTAATTATGTAGACTGTTTTCCAACACTACAATTAAAGAATTTATTGATATTTAAAGTGAACATATTTCCTAATTGTAGACATTCATTTTAATAAATTAGAGAACATTAGTAGTTCCTGAAATATGCTATTCCTAGAAGAATGTTGTAAAGTTGTATATATGATCTTTAACACAATATAGCACCAAGGCTTTTCCTGCAAAGGATGACGGTTTTTACTTAGTGTAAGAGGTACAAGTAATATGGGGAAAGAAACAGTATTGAATTTCATGTTATCTTTGGAAACCATGGAAGAACATTTTTGTCAAAATCTTTTATATTAACATGATTGCATTCCCAAAGTATTGGAATATCCAGGTAGTGGAATTAAACTATTCTCACCAAAAGTTGCTTCCATTTTCAGTGTTATTGCAGGAAAGCTGTAGTGTTCTAAGGCAAACTATTTCTCTTTCAAACCTTCATGTTGTGACCCTCTTGAGCAAAATGAAATCAGATGCCTTATTTAAAGGTGTATCTTTTTAACATTTTAAAATATGTTGTTTAAATATTAATACTTCTCATTCATTGAAAATTTAAAATATAGCATCCCATGGCTCTACTTCATAGTTATAAACTATATTTCCTACACTAGTGATTTCTTATTTTTATTTAAGTTGGAATCACTCTGTATACAATAAGTGTGCAAAAATCTGGAAACTAAAGTGTAAAACCTATGATCTGATATATGTAGTAATTGCCAGGAGTACTCTTGTTGATCTTGTATTCAATCAGGTTAAATCAATGGACAATAAAAGAATGAACACACACACACACACACACACACACACACACAATCTGTGAACTAGTCATGTATGCAGATAATGGGTATGACCTTCTCTTCAAAGATTTAATCAGAAAATAATTATCAGTTGCCATTTTACAGTTTAATGGAGTTCTTTTTAAAAATATATATTGTTAATGATATGTTGTACTCAAGCATATTTCTGCTAGTGTTGAGTTGCATTTAAAATGAACAGTTAAAAAAAAAAAGAACAGTTTATACTGATAAACTTTTCTATGCTTAAATTTTACCTAATCATGTCAGAGTTGGAAGATGAAAATGTGCTTAAAAAAAGAAGCAACTGGATCTTGTTAAAAGACGATTTATATTGTCATCTTGGACAAATACAACCCAAGCTTTTGAGAGGCAACTACCATCTTGGATACCACTTTTCTCTTCCCAGTCCTAATCCTAGTCTTCACCCGTACCTCAACAGTGTTAAGAATTTGGCACTAACTCATAGCTGACCCTCAAGTCTAGTAGGTCTTTGTTGTTGTTTTTGTGTACCAGCAAGTCAAAACTGACCCATAGCTGACCTTCTGGTGGGTTTTCAGAGGCTATTAATTGCATGGGAGGAGATTGCCTATTCTTCTGCAGAGCAGCTGGTGGCCTCAAATCATGTGCCTTTTGGATTGCAGCACCTTCTTGCCACTAGGCTACCAGACTATAAATTGTGGAAGGAGAGTGCTTATCTTTCTCCTGAGGGACAATTAGTGGATTTGAACTACCTGCCTCTGGATTGGCAACTCAACTCTTCTATCATTTCTCCACGAGAATCTATTAGCATTGAAATATATGAATTTTACCAATCTGCTATGGTGCTGGAGAAGAGCAGTCTTATGTAAAACTTCTCAGCCATTCTCAAGGAGAATAGCATTCTAGTTAATTGAATCTCCCCTGTAACATACACCACTGCCATTGAGTTGGTTTCCATTCATAAAGACATTCCTCCGAATTATTTTTTTTTCCTTCCTCTGAATTTTTACAGATGGAGACTGCCCATCTTTCTTCCCTGGAGCAAGGGGGTATATTTGAACTGTCTTTTGGTTAGCAGCCAGAACTAATTTGTACCATACTTTCAGGGAGAATAGAAGTCACAAATATAACTTAATTAAGTTGTGCATGAAAACAATTTTTAGACAATACTTAATTTTTATATGTTTGAAACCATGTGAACTTCTGGTTAATTTTAGCATGAACATTCTTTAAAAGAAAAAGAAAATATTATGCTTTTAGGATCAGTAACATTTTGTTAACATGTGTCTTTATACATTAGCTATGTTGTCAGTTAACTTTGGAAACTAGTTTAATTCACTTTACTTTTGGAGACTCTCCCAAGAGCTTTAAACAATTGTTTGCATTGTCTGCACATGTGATT